AATATATTATGGACCGAAATAGTTCATCTTCACACTCTTTGTTTAAATAACATGATGTTGATATATGATACGCAATAAGAGATCTTTAGGGGCCAGATTGCATAATCTTTGTATATATCTCGAAAAGGAAGAATATTTTGATAAACAGTATTGAACAAAAGACGTTCAAAATAATATTCTGAACAATATGCACTCTTTCATTTTTTGCTAGATGTCCCCATTTAGGACTTGAAGGGCAGGCCCTTAATATTCCTTTTGCATATATCCCGAAAACAAAAAAGAATTTCTGAATAGTTGTTGAACAAAAAGTGTTCAAAGTCATGAGAGCTTTAAGATGATATCAAGAAAAAGGGGCTGGCCTCTCACATTAGGGGCCAAGAAGGGCCGAAAGTCTTTAATCTATAACCCTTTAATGATCAATATTTTGTTAAACATTATTAAAGCAAAATTGTTCGTCTTAACAATTTATTTATATCATTATATTTGAACGAAAATCTCAGTCAAATTCTTATCTCATCTTATCAAAAATCGGACGGAAGACCCACTCGTTGCTCGCAACGAGATCGCATCTAGTTATTATTATTATTATTCCACTTTTTCTTTACAATTTTTGTGCAGAAGATATCTCGCAAACGGTTCGATCGATTTTCATGAAATTTTCAGGGGTAATGCCTTTTGATCTGAAGATGATCCTTTTTTGTTCTAATCCTTAAAATTCACTTCCGGTCAGAAGTTATCGCCCTTTAATCGATTTTCAGATAACCATTTTGTCGACACAAAAACTAAAAAACGGCAAAAGCTAGAGCGCTGAAATTTTCAGCGATTATAGACGACATGTTGAAGTTTTGCACCTGGGTTTTCCAATTTTCCGGAAGTACCTAGTATGGAAGCTCGGTAGGGGTCGAAATTTAGGACATGAATCAGGAGTGAATTTTCGAGACATTTTTTATCGTATCTCTAAAACTATGGAGATTTTCTAAAAACATATTGAATAGAAATTGTGTAGAATTACAAGATCTTTTATATGATATCAAGAAAAAAGGGCTGACTCATCACATTAGGGGCCGAGAGGGGCCGAAAGTCTTTAGTCAATAGCTTTTTAACAATTAAAATTTTGTAATGCATTACAGAAGCAAAAATGTTTATCTCAACAATTTACAACTATATATTATAATATTAACATCATATGTTACATAATTAGGGGCCATTAGGGGCCAGAATGCAAAATCTTTGACGCTTTATATCTCAAAAGTGGGAAATATTTTGATAACCAATATTGAACAACAGATGTTCAAAATAATGTTCTCAACAATATGCAACCTATCATTTTTTGCTAAACGTCCCCATTAAGGAGTTGAAGGGCCGGCCCCTAAATACTTCTTTTGCGAATATCTCAGAAACGAAAAAGAATTTCTGACTAGTTGTTGAACGAAAAGTGTTCAAAATCATGAGAGCTTTAAAATGATATGAAGAAAAAGGGGCTGGACCCTCACAATAGGGGCTGAGAGGGGCTGAAAGTCTTTGAACAATAACTCTTTAACGATCAATATTTTGTAATGGATTACTGAAGCAAAAATGTTTATCTCAACAATTTACAACTATAGATTATGATATTTACATCATTTGTTACATAATCAGGGGCCATAAGGGGCCAGAATGCTAAATCTTTGACGCTTTATATTTCAAAAGTGGGAAATATTTTTATAAGCAGTATTGAACAAAAGATGTCCAAAATAATGTTCTAAACAGGATGCAACCTTTCATATTTTGCTAAACGTCCCCATTAAGGAGTTGAAGGGCCGCGAATATCTCAGAAACGAAAAAGTATTTCTGACTAGTCGAACGAAAATCTAAGTCGAATTCTTATCTCATCTAATCAAAAATCGGACGGAAAACCCACTCGTTGCTCGCAACGAGATCTCAGCTAGTTATTATTATTATTATTATTATTATTATTATTTAAATAATATATTTAAAGTCTGTTTACAGGCGTTTCCATGAAATTATAGTGACTCACTTTCAGATAAATGTGGGAGATTTAAAGAGCTAAATTTCCTCAAATCTCATCAATCATAAACATGTTATGTAAACAGATTCTAGTAAATTCTAATACATTTGAACGTGTGCCAGTAAAGTCTTCATGCCTAGATTTCGAATATGTTAAGCAGAATCCTTCATAATGTTCATGTTCTCCCAATGTTCTCCCAATAAAGTCCCGCAGGAAATGTCATTACTGGCGATGTGGATATCCGTAGTTAATGATGAGGACCTCAAACAACCTATTTTAAAAGGATCAAGATTTAAAAAAAAATTGAACATCCTACTTGCGACAAAAATCATAAATATCAATTCTGTCGAAGATAACATCAGGCGATAGGCAAAATGTACAAGGCCTTAACATTTCTTCCGAATGGATAAAAAGATAGAAGGTAACCGTTGATGTTGATGTCGCGTGCTAAGCAGCTGAAGGGCAATGTGAATACTATCTAGCCATCTGTATTCAGTTATTCTGAAGTGACCATAAGGAATAAGATAGATTACATTATCAATATGTACTAGTCCAAGCTGACAAACCAGGTAATGTAGTCTTTGTTCGTAAGGCTCATTGTTACAAGTGTCAAATGCAAGTCGGATATTGTCCTCTATTGCTCATGAATCTAAGCTGGAAGAAATTGCATAAAGATAAAAATGTTAAAACTTCTGGGATATGTGTTAATTATATATGGGAAAATATTTTGAAAAATTTTAGAGTTTGGTATTAGAATAGCCTGTTATATTGTATGAAATGCATAGATTAGTACAAACTACAGATTGAAGAGAAAGTTCCTTCAGGATCTCTGAAAAATGTACGTTAAAGATTTATCTGCTACCTGTCAAAGCAGGTTATAGAGGAATAACAATTATTATGGAGTTAAATAAGATTATACATATTAAAAATAGTTGGAAAACATCTTAAATAAACCTTAGTTTCATAAGTATAAAGAAATCTGGTTCGGAAAAAGTAGAAAGAATGTTGAAACATTCAAATAAAGGGGGGAGGAGTTTTCATCAATCGAATACTGTTGAGTGGCAAACAACATTCAGGTTCAGTTTTTAGGTCACCTGAGTCACTCAGGTGACCTATTGCTATCCGTTTTTGTCCGTCGGCGTTTGTCGTTCGTCGTTCGTTAACAATTGAACATTTTCAGCTTCTTCTCTGAAACTGCTTAACCAATTTCAACCAATGTTTGCATATATCATTTATGGGTGAAGGGGAACAAAAATTGTTAATTTCAAGGTCCCTGCTCCCCTGGGGCCTGAGGGATGGGGCTTAAACCACCAAAATTAATGCAATCTTTAAAAATCTTCTTCTTCACTCCGGGACATCAAGCAGTCAAGCTGTTGGCATGATTGTAACAAGCAGTGAGCCCTTTTGAGATTGTGAAATTCATGGCCCCAAGGTCAGGGGTTCTGGTGTTAGGGCGGGGCTATATAGATCATATAGTGAAAGTGCATTATTTCTTTGAAAAACTCCTTCTCTACTCCTGGGTATTAAACAAACTATTTAAGTACAAAATTATGATGAGCAAGAGTTCCTCTTCCAAAATTGTGAATTTCATGGCCCCTGGGTCAGGAGTTCTGGTGTAAGGGGGGGGGGGGGGCTCTATTGATTATATAGTGAAGATACATTAATTCTTTGAAAATCTTCTTCTCTGCTCCAGGGTGTCAAACATACTAACTAAGTATATAGTAATTATGAGCAAGAGTGCCTCTTCCAAAATTGTGAATTTCATGGCTCCTGGATCAGGGGTTCTAGTGTAGAGGGGGGGGGGGGGCTCTAATGATAATATAGTGAAAATACATTAATTCTTTGAAAATCTTCTTCTCTGCTCCTGGGTATTAAACAAACTAACTAAGTACATAGTAATGATGAGCAAGAGTACCTCTTCCAAAATTGTGAAATGCATGGCCCCTGGGTCAGGAGTTCTAGGCCATTTGGTCAAGTGTTCTGGTCCTGGCCAAGGCTCTATTAATACATATTCTACTGAGAGAAGTTATTCCCCTTGGCAATTGACTTTTGATAATTAATCACTGTAAATAATGTATTTGAAAAGTTAATAGAATAAGAGAATTATGCAAAAAAATTTATTGTATAGTACAAAAACTATTTTCGTAGTTTTAATGATCAAATAGACTTGTGAATAATAGAATAATAAAAATGAGACAAAAATAACTATTAAAATGTTCTTCAAAGACCAAGGCCAATGTGAGAGATTATAATTTGGGGTTAAAAATAGTACATAATCATCAATAGTTTGTTAACAGTCTGCATGGTGATAGTGATAAATTGGGGACAGATTAGAACTTAATTTTGTTACTAAATATTAGACTATTTAATTCATTGATCCTGATCATCGTATTTCTCTGGCTTTTGGGCAACAAAGCTTCATCTACCAGTTTATTTTATATTCTATGGATCCTCTAAGTTGTTGCATTATACTCAGGTGACCATTAAGACCCTTGGGCCTCTTGTTAAATTTTAGATAGCCCTGCTGGATTTCCTATATTTTCCTTCGCTGCAGACAAACCTTAGAAGCTGTAAATATAAAGAAAAGAATGTTCAAATTTACATGCATTTAAAAAGAAATTTAAAACCTTGACCCTTCTTGAATGATTACAGAAAATATCAATAGGGCTAAGAAAAGTGCATAAAACTCTTTTAGAATATAATTTTAACTTCATACTTTTTAAAACAAAAACTTCGTTGTGCCGCACCACTCAGTCTACTTTGTTCTAATTGTTATAAATTATATAGAGATTTTGCTTAATATTTTGAAGTCAGCAAGATACTGATATACAAAAAAGAAATTTTATTGGATTAATCATACCAAGTTTATTGAGTAGAACAACCCTCGTTGTTATGAGTTCTATTTGTTTATTTTGAAAAAAAAATCAAATGCATAAATTTTGTCAAGTTTTTGATCATTTTGTTTTACCTTTATATGTTTTTGTTGTTTTAGAAAATGGCACCGTGCATTTGTTTGCTATTGACGGCGTAACCAACACGGTATATGGTGTCGATAGTACTTTTGAAATTCTGAAAAACTTTTCCAAGGAGAAAAATGAAATCATTGATGTGGATATTGATGTCCATACGGGTGACCTTTACACGCTTCAGGGAACCTTAATAAAACATTTACAATTTAGCATTGATGGGAATGTTTCATCGCATAGTTATTACTTAGAAGGTATGATTGCTTTTCGCACATATAACTTACATTTCATGAATTTCTTTATGAATTTACAAATTAAATTTTCACAATGTCTTTGTTCATGTACAATGAATATTCTTTGACAGGGCAATCTAAACTGTTCTGTTATGATTCGATCCTAAATGCAGTAATGATCATAAAGAAATCTCTCAGCCATTACTCCCTATATGAAATACATCTTCAAAATGGATCAATTACAGAATTATTAAGTGGAATTTTAGAACCTCTTGACATGATTTGTGTCCCTTCAAAAAGGTTTGATTTTAATATTGCACTAGAACATATGTTTTCGAGATAAAGATGTTGCATTTCAAAATACAAAGTTTTCATTGCTACTATTTAAGCAATTGGATTAAGATCTCATTGCATTGACGTCTTTGCAACATGTAATGTAACCAATATAAAGTTCCTTCATATAAGTAGCATCTTCGTCAAATGATCTGAGTATATTTGATATAGAATTACTAGACATTTTGTCAATATTGTTATCATTGTTCTTCTTTCATAGTTACATCGTAATAGCTATTGACCAACAGAGTCCTGTCCTCCTACTACATAGTTTGAAAGACAACACAACTATAAGTACCCCTGCATTTTTCAAGAGTGGCTATATTCGATTGGCGATGGGAAAAGATGGTATATATTTTCTCTTTATATCTCACCTGAGCCAAAGGCTCGTGTGAACTTTCTGTTTAATCTGGCCGTTGCTTGTCGTCGGCGTCGTAGTAATGTAGATTGAAGTTTGTTAAATGATGACCCCATGATTTACATGGGAATATGTAAAGAATAAAATGCTCTTCTCAAAAACAGCTAAACCATGATAGGCCATATCAGATATGGAGGTTAAAGAGTTCAATACTTCCCCCCTTGGGTAGAGTGGAACCATTTATATTTGTAGACTATGCAAATCTGAGCTGCTTTCTGTTTTCTATAACCAAAGTATTCAAGTAAGCGATGTGCCCCACTGGCCTCTTGGTTTTGATAAAGAGTGATTCCCAGATTCTAAAAAAACTTCTATAGGGTCAAAATTACTTACATTACCAAATTCAATATAGGTAATTTAAACTTCACATCCCCATTTTAATGCATATTTTAGATTCTTTTTAGTAAAATGTGGACAAAATTGCGATACATATATATTATAATATTTTGCATCGGTTACTGTCTCTAAAAGTGTAATATTTTCTTGCAAACGATAGATTGATTGATTGATGGTATGTTGTTTAACGTCCCATTCGAGAATTTTTCACTCATATAGAGACGTCATCATATACCAGTGAAGGGCTTCGAATTTTGACCTTTACTCGGCACTCGGGGCAATTGAGGAGTGAAGAACTTTATCATGGAAATGCCTGCCGTGACATGGGCCTCGGTTTTTTAGGTCTTATCCGAAGGACCCGCAACTTTCACTTGAAAGTGCCGAGCGCATGGCGAAGGAACAGTTGCTATCCATTTTTTATCGACTTAGGTCAGTCGCGGCCGAGATTCGTACTCACGACCTCCCGATCACGGAACGAGCGCTCTACCGACTGAGCTACCGTGAACGGTGCAAAAGATATATACGGAAAAAATATACAGCTTTAAAAAAAAGAACGTAATAGGTTTTTTTTCCCTTTTTGCCAGGGACAGTATATCTGATATAAAATGCAAACATTGGTCATTAAAATTGTCATATAAAACACTTAGATAACTTTTGAATCTCTTTTATGGGCCAAATGTAGATAAAAGCCCAACTAGGGGGTTTGAAGTTTAAAGTATTTTTTCGAAAGATCAAAAAGGTAAAATTGCATCAATTATGTAATTAAATTTTAATGAACCATAAACAGCTATTAAATACCCGTTTACAGTGTAAATGTATAGCTAAAAATAGAGCACTTGGTGACTGATTAAATTTATGATGCAGTAAACACTGACTTACACTCAAAAACCAAGGGTTTCCGATCCGCACTTGTTTCTCCAAGAGAGAAACGAACTAAATTAACGACCCCGGTTGCAAAGACACTGACCCTAAAACATATGCAAATTTGAAATTACGAGGGTTGTCCCAGAAAAACGGGAACATATTTTCAATATCTTTCGTTTCACCAACACAATAAGTTGAAAGGTAGCATACATCATGTTCAATATTTTTAACATAATGCATTAAACTTTCAATAATATAGCTCGATAAATAACATTTTCCTCTCAGGTAAGCGAATCTTACAGATCAGCTGTCGGCTCAACACTGACGACGTCAAAGCGTAGCTCCTAGCGGTTGTGAATTTGATCTGGAATTATGAGTCCGACAGAATTCGTTTAAGCATAAATTAAGCGCTGTATTTTTTTTTTAAGTTAACAAGTTATACCTCTTAAATACTAGCGATGCCAAAAGATTCCGGAATTAATTCTTTTCAAAGACAATCTCCCAATATTGATCATAAACCTAACTGCTCGCATGGATAACCAGACAAACCATTCTCTAACCTCGTCAACTAGGTATAAACCTGTATTCGAAATTTACGTTTGTGATTTTTCCATCGTTAAAATATTTTTTACCGTTATCCCGCCCAACACAGTACTGCTTGATAATTTAATGTTCGACCAACGTCACCATTTTTGACAATATTTAATTAAAAATGTTTTGATACATAGCGACATTTGTTTGTCATTTATAATGTCAAATTAATGAATTTTTATGCATAAGTACTAAAGGTCATAGAGTATTTATGGAGGTAAATTTTGCCATACATATTAGTGATAAAGAAGAATTCATTGATGATGCTATTTTGAAATGTCAAAAATTGCAGTTGGCCGATCACCGACATTTAATACCCTTTAAATGTTGTTTTTAAAATGCATATGGCAACCTAATAATATTTTGTCAAAATACCGAAAATATCCAGAAAAGTGCAAGAAATTATTAGATACATTTCTTTTAGGAAAAATTGCTAAACTTGCATCTCGCTAAACATTCCATTCAAACGTCCCTCAAATGTGAAATAGATTTGAATTTATTGTAGATGAAGATTTGTATTCTTTGGAAATTGGATCGAGCAAAATTTATAAAATAAGCTTTGATTGGAAGACTATTACAATGCTTTTTGAGGATAGCACTACGTTATATAGAGACATTGATGTCGATGAAAAATACATCTATGCTGTTGGCATGTATAATAGGTAATTGTAACGCTATATTAATATTCATTAATTAATTAAGTATTATTAATACAAGTTAGATGATTAGTATTAATTATGTTATACATGTTGGAAATATTTATTTTAAGAATGATACACGTAATTTGGAAATCTACTGGGAAATTACAGTCACAAAAACCATTATCTCCATACTTAGGCACAGTTTCTTTCATCTTAAAAGTTCCAGATGTCCAAAGAGGTAACAATAGTTATTATGTAGGATTTTTTTTATTCCTATTATAAAAATGAATACAATATTTCCCACTTTGCTTAACAATAAAAAAAAAATGCAGCGAGTAGAGTGCATTTGTTCATACTCTTTAACTAGTAAGTAATGTAGAAAACATGTTTATAATTGATCCATTTTTTCTTAAAAATACGATTCAGTATTATTTCATTAAGATTTTTTAACTATAATATTTTCAACTGTGTTTTCGTAATCGGATTTGTCGTGCTATTTGTCTGTTTACCCCTCTTTCTTCAAACTCCATATAATCTTTCAGTTAAAATCAAATGTTTTAAATTGATGATGAACAAAAATAATGAATTTAACAGGTACTGGCTAACACATTATTTTCTTTTATTTTTTCTAAAATTAATATTCAAGTATTATAGTAAAAAATAAGACAGAGGAATATTCGAAACAGTTTCTAGTAGATTGGCAAACATGTTAGTTGCTTTCTAATCGAAAGCATGAAATATATGGAGATAACGAACAGTATTCAAGCTCAAAAGTCCATTAAACAATACAAAATAGGAGCAGAGCAAACACGAACCTCCAAAACATCAGAGGTGGGATCAGGTGCTATGGAGGAGAGCGCATCCCCTGCCGACCAGTCACACCCACCGTGTGCTCCTTGTCATGATTGGGAAATAACGGTCTTATACAATATTTGAATGAATGTTACGAAAATATGATACAGTATAACTTTTTAAATAAAATGACATTTATTATCTCCTTTTTTCAAGGTTATCGGAATAATGCAACACTAAATGATCCAATCAGTGAAAGTGACACCATAGCAATTGTTCTAATATGTTTCACAGTGATTGCCGTTCTGACTTTCTTTGTAGCTGGGTTTACTTTTTTCAGAAGAAGGTATATATTAATTTTTCTTAAATCATAAATTTTAACTATGTTTATAAGAATATGACACTTTGATAGGGAAAGCTGGCTCTTTTGGCTCATTTGGTTTTTGGTGTTTGCAAGAAAAACATATCTTGGTAAATTTTTTTTTTTTTTTTTTTTTTGATATATTCTTCATAGAAGAAGAGTTAAAAAAAACTTCTGAGGCGTTAAAAGTACTCTCCTCTCAAAAAAGATTTTTTGTGACCATTCAAGGAGATGAGCTTGATATCGACTAATTTCTTTATTAATAAAAATCATTGACGGAAAAAATCTATATGTTTGATTTATACACTTTAATTTTAAAGCTTTAATTTCATATGAATCACATATAATATTCTAGGTTTTTGCTTTTAACCCCCTCCCACCTTTTCCTAATTTAACGTATATGTATAAATACCATCTCTACTCTTATTTTTAAGCTTATTTTTTTTTCTCTTGTCAAATTTTTGCTAATGTAATGGTGTATTTGGTTGAACATTAAACCCGTTTGATAGAATACAATGATTTTAAGATGCACAAAATAACATATTTCTGTTTTTATTTTGCAGGGGGAAATGTTTTTGTTTTCGAAGAATATTGTGGGAAAAACGCCTGCCACAAAGCAATATGAGGTCTATATATTCTTTCCCACCAGAAAGCAGCATAAGACACCCTCCACCATTACCGAAAAGATCTTAAATAAGTTTGTGATATTTTGACATATTCATGTTTGATGCAAAGATTTCACTGGTTGTAGATTATAAAATACTTTTTGCTTATAGGTAGTGAAAAAGAGATAATGACAGTATTTAGCTTATTATTAATTTTTAAAGATACCTAAATCAGTATAATTGTTTGTTTGTTACGCTGCAAAGAAATATGGAAGAAAAATTGCACTAGTGGTTATTCCATCTTGTGATGAATTGAATAAAGTTATGCTTAATACTACAGATAAATGTATCATTTTTGAAAGACGATGTGTCTGCTCACTAACTTAAGATATAACAATATCATGAAGATATTTGTTTGTTCTTTGTATTCTGCCACAAATAATGTTCAAGCGATCTATAGAAAACGTATGTTCAAATTCGTAATATAAGGTTTGACACAATGACAAAAATAGCACAGATAGAGCCCGACGCGCAAAATATAGCTCAGAACGAATGCTTTTTACCTAAGGATGCTTATCTCTTCAATATTGTTTTTTGACAGATCGATCCAGACTGTTTCGTTTGGAAATGAACCGATATTTCAAATTCCTGTTCAGATATCCACTTCAATCTTCTTTCAATCTTTCCCTGAAATTTGTACTATTATAGGCAGAACATACAATTGTTACATCGATTATTGCTTCCAAAGTTTTTAATACAAAAAAAGCTCTACATTGCCTAGATATCGAAAATCTGATACATAATCCTCCTACCTTTTTCGTACGTGTTCATGTTCTTCTTCACCCTACAACTAAAGTCCTGCTGGACACGTCATTACTGGTGATGTAAACATAGTTAATAATGAGGACCTTAAATCCCTTATTTTAAAAGGACCAAAATTTAAGGTACCCCGTTCTTTCAACTGGCATCATAATTTTATAAATATCATGAATTCTGTGGAAGATTACGCCAGGCGATGGGCCAAACACGAAAAAGAAGACCTTGACACTTTGTCAGAATGGATTAAGAGCATCAGATGGATGTTGAAATCTCGCATTCTGCGATTGAGGGGCTGTATGAAAACTATTTATCCTTCTGTCTTTAATAATTCAAAAGTGAAAAAGGAATAAGATAGATTACACGATCAGTATGTACTGGTCCCAGCTGACAAAGCTGGTAACAACATAGTCTTTGTTTCTAAGGCTCATTATTTGAAAAGTATTTTAGAGGAACTAGGATTGAATTCTACTGGTGGAAATCCAACTTACACCCTTACCTCCCTTTCTAAGGAGTAAATTCTTCAAAATCATTTTAAGATAATTTTAATATTCCCAACAATCAAAATGAATTTGAATTACCATACCTTTACTGGATTCCTAAACTTCATAAAAATCCTTACAAACAAAAATACATAGCGGGTTCCAGTAAATGCTCTACCAAAGATCTTTCTTTACTCCTCACTAAAATATTTACTGTAATGAAGGAGAAACTTCACGAGTACTGTTCAACAGTATATTTGAGAAGTGGTGTAAATCAGATGTGGATATTTAAAAATTCCAAACAACTTTTGGAAAATTTGAAATCACAAAATTTTACTAAAATCAATAGCATCAAAACGTTCGATTTTTCAACACTTAATACAACCTTTCCCTACGATAAATTGAAGTCCAGACTTTTTGAGATCAAAGACAGCTGCTTTTTCAATAAAAAGGGAACTCGTTAATATACTTACCTTGTCATTGGTCATTTGCAAAATTATTTTGTTAAAAAGCACTCTGATTGTACACACAAGTACTCTGAAATTAAAATGGTATATAAAAAAGATGCTTGAGTTTCTGATTGACAATATCTATGTAGTTTTAGGGGATCAGGTCTACCAACAATCTGCTGGAATTCCTTTGGGTACCAATTGCGCCCCTTTATTAGCAGACCTATTTTTTTATTCATATGAAGCAGAATTTATTCAAAAACTTCTAAATAAGAAGAAAATACTTGCTGTCCCTTCAACTTGACATTTCAATATATCGACGACGTATTTATCAATTAACAATCGTTACTTTCATTCATATGTCGACTCGATATATCCCAATGAGCTTCAGATAAAAGATACCACAGATTCTGACGCATATGTTTCATATTTAGATACTTTACCAGAAAAAGACGTTAATGGTAACCTAACAACCAAGCTTTATGATAAGCGGGATGACTTCAACTTTTCAATCATCAATTTTCCTGACATATGTAGCAATATACCCTTATCACCTGCATATGGGGTTTATGGCTCTCAGTTGATTCGATATGCAAGAGCATGCTCTACGTATGAATAATTTCTAAAATGAGGCAAGCTATCGACAAACAAGCTTTCGAAACAAGGATATCAACAGTCTCGTTTGAAGACATCCCCTTGCAAATTTTTCGGTCGATACAATGACCATGTCAGCACATACAACCTATCATTGAGTCAAATGCTGACTGACGTTTATCATACTAATTGTTAGGCCATTATTTATACACTGAACTGTCTACGGATTTTTCCGGTTTTTGTTTCCCGATCATGACAAGGAGCACACGGTGGGTGTGACCGGTCGACAAGGGAAGCTTACTCCTCCATGGCACCTGATCCCACCTATAATTTTTGAGGTCCATGTTTTCTCTGTCCAAATTTGTATCGTCTCATTGGGCTTTTGAGATTGAATACTGTTCGTTATCCTTATATTTCATTATAAACGTTATCGACAGTTGATATATATAGAAACAGAATGGTAATACCTAGTGATTAAAAGCTATTATATATGTTTACAGATGTGAGTACATCTACCTGAAAGTACTAGTTATGTAATGCCAAATTTTCATGAAATATATTTCTAACATCTACTACGACAAAGTAAGAATCATTATGTAACAATATACCCTTATGTTATTAGGGCGATAAATGCCTTGTTTCAAAGTGAATGTCAACTAATTTGACATTTCTGTGCGTAGCAAAAAGGAAAATATTGATTAATCGCTTGTATAAAATATTTTAAACATAACAATACTTTTAAAATAAAGTATACTGAAGATGTTGCTACGCAACTATGTTAAGGCTTCCCGAAGCTTCCAAATGCGCTCAAAGCATAATATTGAATTGCAAGGTCAGTTTTGGTTTTAATTTATAAGTATTGTACTTTAGTACTTCCAATTTATATAGAGGGTTCCCTCGGCTATATATACTGAAACCCAAAAGAGACGCAACATCCTATTTTAGGAGGAAATATTATATAAAGGATATAATTTTGTATCTAAAAAGTAAAGACATCTTCAGCTTTGTAAATATCGGTAATTTAACTGTTGAATGATTTTCATACCATTACCGGAAGTTAAGTTTTAGTCCGCTTAACAGAAATGAAAAATTACATGTTTAACAAAACATATGGCAATAATATGGGGTTTTAAGGGTTTATATCTGTTCATCATAAGTAATGCAGCAATATTCCGAAAAATAAATTCCCCTGTCTTTTCCGTAAGCGATGCCAAGGGTTCCTCAAAATGACTTAAATACGCATTTCTATTGCTCTAGCTGGAAAATCTCAAAATAAAGGTGATGGAGAGCTGCAGATGCAAATGTGTACTACATCACGCCTCAACAGGCTCTTACGTATCATTAGCATGAATGACAACCCTTGGACTGGAAGTCCAAGGGTTACCAAACTTCGCTAGGCTAGAGAAAATTCGACCTCATCATCTGAAAAACAGGCATTTAAAAATAGCAAAGAATATTTCTTTCGCTCAGATCTCGAGATTGATGAACCTATTGCAGAGATTGTAGAAATCAAGTTGCAATTGTTGTGCATGGCAGTCCTGCACACTGTAATTGAATGGCCGGGGTGGGGGTGTTTTAACAGTCATGAGTTACTCTCTAAAGTTAAAAGATAATCATTTAACATTTTTATCAAATCTCTATGTTTTTAAATCGAGTTTTACCTTACTGTGTTCGTTTTTTGGAAAATTATAAAAAATTCAAATATTTATAGATTACTGCTTGTTGCATTTCTTTTGCGTTTCAGTATATTAACATATTTGTTATGATATCACATGACTTTGTTGATCACGTGACGGTCATTTATACAGACCCTGAAACGTGCTACTACCCCAAAAAAGCGTGTAACTTTCGTGCGCTTTTCGTTTCGTGCAAACCGTGTAGCGTTTCGTGTAAACCGTGCAGCGTTTCGTGCAAACCGTGTAGCGTTTCGTGTAAACCGTGCAGCGTTTCGTGTAAGCTCCAAAGCGTTTCGTGCAAACCGTGTAGCGAGCGTGCGAGAAGCGTGTGAGAAACGTGCGACTTTCGTGTAAGAACCGTGTGAGAAACGTGCGACTTTCGTGCAAGAATCGTGTGAGAAACGTGTAGGATTCATTCGGAAGTCATTTCATTTTAAATATGGCTATCGATGGGTCAGGATGTCAAATGGTGTTGTTTATAGCTAATATTATTCGGAGATATTATACTGGATGTATTTTAAGAGTAAAATTTTTAAAAAAAAGTATGAGAGCAACAAAATAAAATTACACGGTAATGTATATTAAATTTGTTTCTCTTTATTTTTTCCCTCAAAAATAAAGATGGACAGGAAATTTATTCAAATTAATTACATGTAATAACAGTGTATGTGCAACATTTTTATTGAATTGATTTTAATGCACAATCGGAGTGATCATATCTTTTTTATTTTATTTTCCAAAGAAAGCAACAAACGAAATTTCAAACGAAATTTTATCAGGACTCCGCTCTTGTCTATTACCAGATTGTATTAAATAATTTTAATCAAAAATGTGTGTCATTAATAGTCTTCAAACACATAGCATTGGTTGATTAATAATTGAAATTATGAGCATAATTCACATGCATTTACGAACGCAGGATTAGAAATTACCGAGAAGGGGGGGGGGTGGCGCATTTCAAAAACGCAAGCTTTAAATTTCAATATTTGTCGGTACTGGGTGTTAAAAAGCATAATTGACTTTCTTGTGTATAAAGAAATAAATACTTAATTTATGTGGTGCATCGGATGC